TGAAATTATTATGAAGACCAGTTTATACACGAAATTCATTAAGTGAAAAATATTAAAGTAAAATCAAATTAATCAAAGCGGGGTTGAATCAATTATGTTGGTTGTTATAAGGCAGCTTTAATATGGAAAATAGAGGGAAATTATAGGAGTTAATTATAGAAGGCATAATTTTGGGTAGGTTTGTATCTTTACCCCGACTGCTATCTAAATTAAATTCCAAATCCGTAAAGATTCCAAGACGAATTCAGTCCACGGCTGATGACTGGTGCAAGGTTGCACCGGTTTGAAATAGTATATATATATATATATATATATATATATATATATATATATATATATATACTGTTATAATAAATACATTGAACTCTGTGAATCAGTTTTAATATTTGATATTACTAGGATCAACTGGATTATATACCAGCGGATCTGTTATTTGTACTAAACTGCACATTATAAGTTTCTAAATAATAAAATCTATTAAACAATAGACATGAGTTAACGGTTTTTTGCCGACATCATCAAATTTATGCACTGAATAATTAGCTAAAAACAAGCATAAAATATAACTTTTATAATCCATAGCCCTAATAAATAGTTTAAATACCCTACAAAAAAAGATAACCCTTTATGAGGTCGTCAAAAAACAAATGTTACGGCAGTTTTTATATGCACAAATCTCTTTCATAAATAAATAAATCTCCATAGACACGTAAACCAGACTAGGCGAAAACATCTTCCGTTTCAAATTTAGACATCCTCACCTTACCCTGACCTGACATCTATGAAAGTAACTATATACTGATACTTATTATTAACACCCAACACACCCCTAGCTATTTTATACAATCCGCCCTGGGTGTTACCATGGAAATCTTGATTTCAATTATGAATATACTATTAAAACACGTAAATTTCAGAAATAAGTTATTCCAAAAAAAAATTTTGCTTGAAGATGGAACAGAGCTTACTTTAATTCAATTTAATTCAAATAATCATATTGAAGTTTTCGGCTCTTGTTTTGAAACATGAGACCTCTTATGTCGCGAGTTGGAATCATATTTTTAAATAAATAATTATATATATATATATATATATATATATGTGTGTGTGTGTGTGTGTGTGTTTGTGCACCAACATACATTGTTATATTTCTGTTCATAATCCTGTAGAGCGGAATTCATTTGATTTTATTCACACTTCAAGTATATATTTTAAAAACGCCAGTTTCCCTTACATTTCATCGAGAATATATTTTTTTTCTTTTAGTTCGTTTCTTTTTATACATAACTTTTTTTGAATTGATTGTTTCTAAATGTCATTCGACAACGTCCATGACATTAAATTAGGTTCTAAGAACATGTTAAGCCGATTTTACAGTCTACCGACACACTAACGCTATCTTCTTAACATCACAACATTTTCTTTTTTTTTCTCTGTTAACATGCAAACAAACATGGATGATTCCTTTTTGCTTGAAAACTAACAACTTGGAAAGTCGCAATGTCACCTTCTCGTAAGTAATAATACGTTCTAATGATGGTAGAAAGCAGCTTGGAAAACCAGCATAGTACATTTTATCTCCGACTGATCAACCAGCGATATTTCTCGTTTATTTTTTTTTAAGCATGAAGAATGAGAAGAAAAATAAAATACTGAGAAACAAATTGAATGTACGGGAAGTATTTTTTCTTGTGTACTTATGTTTTCCTGGCAAAAGATACTTTTTCTTAAGCACTGATGATGCTAATGATGCTAAAAAGCAAATTTGCTCTCAATTTGGAAATCATTATTCCTTACTATGTTTTTTTAAATATATTTGCCTGAAATCAGTAGATTCTTTGTTTATCTTTACTATATGAGGGAAGTCCTTTTGACTGCATATAAACTGATATAACATGATTTGAATTCATGTGGCTGCGTATGATTCGAATTCCGTGACGCTTACATAGACTACATCCGGTGCAAAATCTGGATCATTATTTTCGGATTAATATTTTCCTGTAAATGTCCTTAATTTTCATTCTTGAGACAGTCGATTTAAACTTCACGATAAAAAGTTCAGTTCAGTGATTTTAGCATCAATACTTCGTCATTCTAACCGTCAAAATATTGGCTTTGAATAAAAAGTTCCAAGAGTGTTTTCAATATAGGTCATTTAAACAGGTTATTTCTTTTCAAACGTGACGAGAATACATTCGCAAATATAGACATTTGGGAACGTGACATTCCCATACCTCTTTCTATAGTATTCGTATCTGTAAAAGGGATTTTATAAGTTTTTATCTTAAATGTGATAATGAGATGAACTTTCGTGATTTCAAGCCCTTTTTTTTCCCGAAAGTTAAAACAGATGCTGTATAAAAATAAAAAAATAAAGAAAAATAACCGCTAGGCACCATTTACAGAGAAGATTCCAAGTGATCTAAAAAGCGAAACCTTCTGGCGTTTAAACACCTGTAGGGCCATCCCTGGCAGTAAGATCGTGGTGGAGGGACCAGACTGAATGCGACGAACTCCGGAAGACCCCAATAACGGAACAGACAAAGATCTAACTAACTTCAACCAACCAAACCCGCGGAAGAAGATAGTACTAGACTTGAGATACCAAGCATCCGACAACCCGATGCAACCAGTTCTGGCTAGATATGGCCTGTCTCAATCCCGTTTGAGCCGTGAGGGAGGCGCTTCTCGCTAAGTGTCTCGGCTTGAAAATGAAATTCACGTGAATAGCCTCGATATGACTACTCTTCAGGAGTAGCCTGTGCTTTTATTGCCATCTCCAACACTGCTATCCGTGGGAGGAAAGTGGGGACGCAGTGAGGACGACGATACTGATGCTTGGATGCGAGTGGGTGCCAACTGATACTACGGATAATTCTCTTAAGTATTTCGCTACATTCAGACGGTGACATATGTTTTGAGAAGACTGAGACCATTTCACAAGGTCCGATGTCATTGATGACGTTATACTGTATTTGTCATAGGTTTGACGGAGCATTTTGCGTTACGACCTCTGTGAAGAATCAGATGTGGAATTGACTCGTGTATTGTTTCGAAATGAACCAATTAATGGTTGGTCGATAAAAAGCATCCATATTGACCAATCGGAAAGATGTTGTTTTCCTCACATTATTTTTTTTAGTTTTTGGTAGACACTGCAGAACTTAGTAAAGCTTTGTTGACATATCTACTACACCTTACGTATTCACCGAATGTTTTACATTCGTATTACTTTTCATTTCGACGGGAACAACTTCCAATAATGGACATACTTCTCTTGTGTAGGGATTCGTCCCTGCGCGGATAGTATCACGGCTAAAACTAGCTTAAACCAGCTCTGGCCTGAACCAGCTAGGACAAGTCAAGACCGGCTATGATTAGATTAGACCAGCTATGACCAGCTTGGACCAGCGGCCCGAGTAAAAATACTCGGGTCCCCACCTTAAAAAATGACCTTGTGTCACAACCTGACTCAGTGGGGGGTCAAGTAAATACACTTCGTGTAATGGGAAGAACTTCTGTTCTCCAGAAGCCTGTGATATCAATTTAGACCAGTTCATCACCTCAAAAAGATGGTAGATATTTAAAACGTTAAAAGTAACGGAAATGTCATATTTGCGACATGCAGCGGAAAAATGGTCCATATCTGATTAAAGAAATCTATGTACAAATATCTTAATACAGTCTTTGAAATTCTATAAAATCCCAACTAACTTTTGCCTTGATCCAGTAAGATTTTTTTTCTTTTTTTTTACAGTGAGGTTCACCCTGTATAAAGTCCGGCAGCTGTTCGAAGTAGAGTATTACAGATGAAGACGGAGAGTGCATGCGGATATGTGTGGAAGATAACGGTTAACCCAAGTCTTGAATTATAGTGATCGGGAAAACATACTCTTGAGAGTCGGTTCCACAGAGATTTTCGCGGGAAGTAACTACTAGAGTGGAACTTACATCTCAACAATGGAACAAGGGCGATTCGCTACAAGGTTCATAGGTTAGAACTGGTGGAACTAAGTAATCTAGTTCGACTGAGCACTTTCATGGAAGTGGCGATAGATCAGGGACAGGCTTCCGACGTTTAGTCTGTGAGAGAAGCTGATTCGCAGTCTTGTTTAACTTATAGCTATTAAAAAATTGCTTACGAACGACTGTAAGTTTGTTCGGTGTAATTAGTATTGACTGAAATGCGCCTTCTCCAGATTCAAATTTAGGCGTTAAATGGACTACAAAATGGATTAATCTTAATTATACTTTATTCACCACTTTTGATTGTTGTAATCTTATTTAATTCCTAATCTTGGTAGGCACCATGGCAAAAATGTGAAATTCTTGTCTGACATTTAGTGTTTCTTTTTGGTGAAAAAAAATCGTTTTACTTTTCATAAAACCTTGTAGATGAACTAAATATAAAACATCTTAAATATCAAAATGTAAAAAAAGGTGATACTCTGTGATATAAAAAACTTATATAACTTATAGAAATACGGAGCGAATTAATGTTTTTTATTTACATATCAAATATGTAATAGAAAGTTGTTTCTTTAAAATAGGATTAGGAAGGTTTCCAGTACAATGGTGTATGACGGAAATACCCCAGTCATATATGTCAATCTCAATAAAGATATTACATTTAACCCGTGAAAATTACACTTTATTTCTATTTTAATAATCTATGAAAGTTTTTTTTTTTTAAGCTCATGGTGAGTTCTACAACAATAAAATATCCGTAAAATATTCCCCTATCGCATCGTTAAATATTTGAGTTTAACAACCTTAACAAAATATTGCAATAACAATCATAAATATGAATACTGGTCGTTATTTTAAGAAGTGGGTACAAATGAAAAGATTTGAAATTGAAAATTATTCCATTTCATTAGGGAAATCTTTAAAAACTTTTAAATTTCTTTCTTTATTTCATTCATTTTCTCACTGAAACCAACTAGTGTTTTTCCTCTCTTCCGACGCGATCAAAACAGAATAGACCATTATTTATGAAGTATTGGTATGGGATGTTAACCACTTCTTTCTTTCTATCTATCTATCTATCTATCTATCTATCTATCTATCTATCTATCTATCTATTCCTCATTGAAACTAAGAAGTGTCTTTTACTTCATCCCCTTCTTACGAACATTTCTCTTGATAATATTTTAAACATAATTCAGGAAACGATGTTATTTTATTTATGACAACTGAATATTTTGGTGATTCGTCCGATTCTCTACGTCTGAAAAACGGTGATTTTATTGCGATGGCCTTCGCTTCGCAGCATTTAAACTGGGCTCAAAACGTAGTATCTGCCTTTGGGCGAACAAACTGCATTTCATTCCTCAGTTGGCTCTCTGTCTCCAGGAAGAACACAACTCAATTTTGTCTCTTTCAGCGGACAGAGCCTAACTGAAAATATATGGAAACAGGTGCCAGCAGCAATGCGCTCCCCGATTGAACTAAAAAGGGTGGGGATCAATAGGCATACCGATGCTACGGCAACCGACAGTGGAATGGGATGACCTGTTTTTGGTCATGGCCCATGTGCACGATCCCCGCATTAAACTGACCTCATATCAAAGCGGGGCGGCAAGAAAATACAGTCGATTGTCGGCCTTCCGTCTAAGATGAAAGTGCAATATCTGTCCTTTTTCAGTTTTATCTGATTCTCTCTCTCTCTCCACTTATATCTCCTATTCTTTCTTTTTTCCTTCCTTTCTTTCATACCGTTTCTCACTAACACTAGTTGTTTCCTTGCTTTCCGCGTGCTCAAATAGAATAGTCCATTGAGGTATTGGCAGGGCGTAACGGTCGTACGAACTAACGAAGAGAAGGACAAGCAAAGTTATAATAGGATAGTCATTGATTACTTGAAGCTGGAATAGTCATTTGAAAATATAAAACGTACAAGAGATAAAACAGTATAATAATTCTGACGACACAATCAGCAAATACACAAATAAATAAATACACCCTTGTGTGTTTGTGCGTATGTCTGTGATTGTGTGTGTGTGTGTGTGTATTTGCATATCTGACCGACATTAACCTCCGTGAAAACGTGACACAAACAAGTCATTGTCTGATGGCGTGAATTTTTACGCGGGTTCAAAATATTGGTATTCATTCCATGTAAGAGTTAGCGTCACACAAATGAAAATATTTTTATTCATTTCATTTCGTTGGATGACCTTTTATCATTTGAAAGGTTATATGATAGTGGCAACAAGGAAAATGACGGTAAAGTGTCGTATTTTTTTTTCTGTTTGAATTGTTTTTTTTAAATATTTTCAGAAAATTTAGTTATTTAAAAAGAAATAGCAGACATTATTCCATTTCGTGTAATGTCCATTGAGCAATTCTTTATTTGTATTCTTTCTGGCTGTTTGCCTTCCTGGAAAAATTGCTCCGCTTATAAACTGTTGGAATAATCAACTTCGAAACAAGGAAAATAGATTTTCTGCTATAAGTGGAATTGGCTTGGCATGAGAAATAAAAAAAAAATATTTTGATTTATTCTAGAACTTCTATTCATATTTGATTGTTATAGAGGTTTCGATAAAGAACTCCATATTCAGGAGTCCAATCTATAAATATAATATATGTTATATAGAGTTCGAATATATATATATATATATATATATATAATTATTAATTAAGAAATCGGAGATTTCAGAAAGCCGTGGTAATATTTTGTTTCGCAAAAATCGATTTCGCTTCGTCAGATCTGGCGATTTCAAATTTGATGTCACCGATTTGTTAATTAATTATTATTTGGTCTGTTTTTTTTTTTACATTGAGCTCTCGGGATTAGATCCTTACCGGAATTATCCATCGGTTACCAAGTTACTTTTATCATTATTATATATATATATATATATATATATATATATATATATATATATATATATATATATATATAGTCATCCAGAGACAGACTGTTTCGTTGTATCACAACCTCAGTGTGGTTAGACGTCCGAATGTTTCAAGCCGGGATCAAAACACGATTGATTTGACATCAGTGAAATATCTTAAGACTTATATCGTCGCACGGCAGAAATGAAAGGAATTTTAAAGTTTTTTCTGGATACGAAATACGACGAGGCTCAGAGAACTGACATCAATTTACTTTAAGAATAATGCTTAATAGCATTAATAGCCGTTTTTTTTTTAAACCCGTTTCCTTTGACAGCTAAACCGGATTTCCGGGAGCATATATAGTCATCCAGAGATAGACTGTTTCGCCGTATCACAGCTCCTCAGTGTGGGTTGATGTCCGATATCGAAACCTGACTGATTTGATATCAGTCATATATCTTACCTCATCATCGCAAAGGAAGGCAGTTTTTACGTGTATCTTAATACGAAATACCCCCGGGGCACGGAGAACTCAATTCAAATTCACTTAAGAGTAATGCTTATTATATATATATATATATATATATATATATATATATATATATATATATATATGCAAAACTGATCGAACATCTATTCATTTTTATTAAAGCTTCTTCAGTTTTGTATTTTATTCCGTAATTCTTTCAATACTAGTTCATAATGAAAGACAAATTAATTTCTTGCCAGCTCAGGATCAAATTCGTACTGTCATTAAAAGCAGTTTCATCCAAATGCATTTTACGATCATATAAATCACAATATGGAATATTTTTATTTTTTTTAAAGCATGCTGTACAATCTCATCAAATGTGGAAAAATGACATGATCCAACAGAAATGTCGTTCTGCAAGAATACTGAGAATGCAATGGTCGGAACAGTGAAAAACATTAAACTTTATGGACACAAAAATAACGGTTATACTTAGAATCAGATAGAGACAGCTGAAATATATAGGGTAGATATAGAGGAAAGATGGCTTGAAGAATTTGACACTCGTAGAACATACTGAAGTCAAGACGAACAGTGGGATACAGGCAGCAATATACCTGATGTCAGAACAGGAAATCAGATTGATAATGAATAAAGAAATCCAAGACTTATAAACCACAGATATAGTGTAGAGAAATTTTCTGTTACTCTCTACGCGGTTTGGATCCAGGTTCCTCTTTCTCTTAGACTAGGCGCCACCAACGTCAAGATGCCCAACTCTTCCCTGTTATTTCATGGAGGCCTGGTGGTCTTTCTATATAACTGAGATGAGGTATTATAATTACTGATATTATTTACATTATTCGGACTGTTATCCTCATCTTCACTGTCATATTCAAATCATCTGAAGAAGTCCGGAGCATACAACAGGTGAAACGTTGTGAATATGGCAATGAAGATAATGATAAAAAATCGAATAATGTAAGTATATCTGAAGGGTGTAAAAATGATGGATCCTTGTTTTTCTCAGGGCATAGTTCGAAAGTTACCGTAACTGGCAAAACCAGAATATGAACTCGTCTCGCCGATTACACTTCTTACACTGATACCAATTATGCTACCAATACCTGGTCTTGGACCGAGTGTGGAAGCAAGCTGGGTGCTTTATTTTACTAACTGACGCCTTATTACTTTGATCAGAAAAAAAAACAAACCTGATAATCCATTATGCGGTCAGCGAGTACCGGTAGTATAATTATCTGTGAGAATTGTATTAGGTTGGTGCAAAAATAATGACGTAATAATGTCGTTTTTGACGTATTTTTTAACGTCAAAAAACGACATTATTACGTCATTATTTTTGAACCAACCTAATAATAAGCGAGCCGAGTTTAAATTCTGGTCTCCGCCGTTTCGTTAGCTTTCGAACTACGCCCTAATGAAAAAAAAACAAAACAATAATACATTACCTTCCACCTTCTATCTATAGTTTAAATAGCTAGAAAGAGTTAGATCTATTGGTGTGGACAGGAACTTGTCTAAAATAAATACAAACCTGGAAAAACACCCATGGAGACAGTAACAGGAAATCATTCTGCTATCCTTTCCCAAATATCATGGGGATTCGCAGGGAATAAAGCTAAGCGATATCAAGTCCGTTTTCATCGGCTACGTCCTACATAGCGATAAGAGGGATAAAGAAACAGTTATTACCCAACGTCTTAATAACTGTCAGTATCTGTCAGGTGCTAAGCTGATAAGAACTAGCTTTAGAGCTACAGATAGTATTTTTCTTCTTTCTTCATGTGGAGGAAGACTTATTATTTACTTCCACCCAGTCAGTCATTTATGTGCCATGCGTCATTTATGTGCCATGCGTATATTTTGATACATGGTTGACGAGGCAGACTTTTTTTCCGGAGTAGGTTGCTATTCCTTTCTGCGGTAGACCAGTTGGCCGGTCTGTCCTGCCATTTACCCATAGCTGGGGGAGGTGAAAAAGAGGATTCATACCTTTTTAACGGTATTAGCACGTAAGTGAATGTAATGGAATTCGAACTCAGCTCCCCGATTCCTCAATCCGAGCCGCTATCCATTATTCTTCCACTAGACAACGAAAGATAGTTTCCTCTGCCTAACTCAGCAATTATGGGATGTTAAACTCGTCTGCTTGAAACGACTTTTTCTATCTTTGTGTTGTTTATGTTTTTCTTTTAGCCGATATTTTATGAAATAAAATTTAGTCCTTACATTTCAATTGTTCGTTATACTTGATAAGAACATCTTAATATCTTTATTCTAGTCAATTAGTGTCGAAAAGCTTAGTCGCAGACAATACGATAAATTGCCAGCATTCGATGATCATTAACTTCATTCCAGTTGTTATGTACTCACTGAAAAGCTTGCTAACGAGTACAGGATATGAATCCTACATGTATTTTTCTTATGCTATTGTCCTTGTCACTTCCAGACGTGAACAATCATGGCTCTCCGCAACTTCCTGTCCTTTATAAGTCTTAGATATGTGTTATCATCATATCTCAATTTCCCTGTTTTGGCATCCATTTACAAATACTTGACGGGTACGTTACTGGCTATATCCATCAGTTCGTTTTGCGTTCACTATGTTCTACGAGTGTCAAATTCTCCAAGCCTTCTTTCCTTATTAAGTTTCCTATAAATTGCAGCTGCCTCTATCTGGTTGTAAGTATAAGTGTTATTTTTGTTTTCATATACGTTTATGATTTTTTTTTTCATTTTTCAGACCATGGTATTCT